TAAGGGGGGACTCTGTGAACTCTGATGTAAAGGAGGATGTGGGAACCCTGATGAAAGGGGAATGCTAGGAATTCTGATGTAAGTGAGTGATTACCAGATACCCCATTATATCAGAGTTCCTCTTTACACCAGAGTCTGCAACATTCCCCCTTACATCAGAGTTCTCAGTGTTCCCCCGTAAATGAGAGTCCCCAGAGTTACAGTGTATGGGAACTTCAGATGTAAAGGGGAATGCTGCAGATTCAGATGTAAAGGGGAACTCTGCAGATTCAGATGTAAGGGGAAACTCTGCAGATTCATATGTAATGGGGAACTCTGTGGATTTAGGTGTAAAGGGGAACTCTGCAGATTCAGGTGTAAAGGAGAACTCTGCAGATTCAGGTGTAAAGGAGAATTCTGTGGATTCAGATGTAAAGGGGAACTTTGCAAGTTCAGATGTAAAGGGGAATTCTGCGGATTCAGATGTAAGGGGAAACTCTGCGGATTCAGATGTAAATGGAAACTCTGTGGATTCAGATGTAAATGGAAACTCTGTGGATTCAGATGTAAAGGGGAACTTTGCAGATTCAGATGTAAAGGGGGACTCTGTGGACTCTGATGTGGGGGGGGGGACTTTTCTGATTAAAACCATATGATTAGAAATGTTATATAATCACAAAATATATGTATAGTGTATACTGAAAAAAAATCACGTGCCCTGATAAAGTGTCCAGGTTTGCCTTGAAGGAAAGCTGGCAACCCTACCTACATGTATTCTCTATGCCCTGTGAGTAGGCATCGCTGTGTCACACATTTCACAGAGCCTGCCCTCTGAACTACAGAGGTGTCAAGAGTAGGAGTCGTCTCAGGAGGCAAAGTCAGCACAGGAATCACTTCTTGCCGGCAACAAGGAATTATGGGATTTGTAGTCCTTAGAAATTGAAAGTAAAGAGCAGAGGAGAAGCTGCAGATCATGCAGGGAATCCAGGAAGTTCTGAAAGAGATGGCCAGCAGACAGGCAGAACTCACAACATGAAAGAAGATTTTTTATGTAAACTAATATTTGATTGTCAAAAATAACCACTTTTTATATTGCTATTACAATGTTATTCAATGAACGTGTATGCTGTGCCCACTGACCTCATTTAATTGTCAGATTATCAGGTTAAAATAAAGGGAAAAAAGAAAACTAATGCAGCAACCACATTTAAGGACATTTAAGCTGCAGTACTATCATTGTTTTTTCTTGGGTTTGGATACGCTTGAACACTGACTAGGTCACTTGAGTTGCATGCAGAGAGCATAGCAACATCTAATGTACACAGTTATGCATCTAAAAATATCTCTGGCAAGATATGTGATTAATGCATGAAGGCAAAGCACTGAAAGCCAAGAACAAAGGTCATGCAACTCAAATACAAAGATAAATTACTTTTCCTACTGGCAAGCAACATTGTGCTGTTCAAGAAATAAAGATATGATCATAGTGGTAAAAAATATCATATACTGTATATACTATTGTACCAGAATATTGTGTAATCCTACTCACTAAAGGCTCAAATATGCATTGACATTGTAATGACATTTTAAAAGTAATTGTCAGTGTTTGAAAACCTACAGTTTTCATTTAAAAAAAAAAACCTGGTGATCCCGCATTGAAGATCCTTGTTCAGGCACTTCCTGTTATAGGGTGACAATGCATTGTCCCTATACGTCTTCACGCAGGCTTCTGATAGAGGGGCCATTTCAACACACATCATGCAGGCATGATCTACTGTTGTCATCATTAGCAAATTACAAACTTCCATTGCTGGAATGTATGCACATACAGTGAAGGAGATAAGTATTTGATCCCCTGCTGATTTTGAATTTGTTTGCCAACTCACAAAGAAATGGTCAGTCTAAAAATTGAATGATAGGTGTATTGTAACACTGAGAGACAGAACAGCAACAGAAAATTCAAAAGAAATGCATGTCTAATAAATTATGCACTGATTTGCATGTTCATAAGGGAAATAAGTATTTGATCCCCTATCATTCAGCAGGATTTCTGGCTACCAGGTGTCTATCATACAGGTAACAAGCTGAGATTGGAAGCAGTCTCTTAAAGGGAGTGCTGCTAATCTCATTTTGTTACCTGTATAAAAGACACCTGTCCACAGGAGCAATCAAACAATCAGATGTCAAACTCTCCACCATGGCAAAGACCAAAGAGCTGTCCAAAGAAGTCAGGGACAACATTGTAGACCTACACAAGGCTGGACTGGGCTACAAAAAATCGCCAAGCAGTTTGGTGAGAAGGTGACAACAGTTGGTGCAATCATTCGCAAATGGAAGAAACACAAAACAATTGTCAGTCTCCTTAGGTCTGGTGCACCATGCAAGATCTCACCTCGTGGAGTGCCAATGATCATGAGAACAGTGAGGAATCATCCCAGAACTACACGTGAAGATCTTGTCAATGATCTCCAGGCAGCTGGGACCACAGTCACCAAGAAAACAATTGGTAATACACTACGCTGACAAGGATTGAAATCTTGTAGCGCCTGCAAGGTTCCTCTGTTCAAGAAAGCACATGTCCAGGCTGTCTGAAGTTTGCCACTGAACATCTCAATGATGCAGAGGAGGACTGGTTGAAAGTGTTGTGGTCAGATGAGACCGCTCTTTGGCATCAACTCAACTCGCCGTGTTTGGAGAAGGAGGAATGCTGCCTATGACCCCAAGAACACCATCCCAACTGTCAAACATGGTGGTGGAAACATTCTGTTTTGGTGGTGCTTTTCTGCTAAGACAACTGCACCGAATCAAAGGGACGATGAACGGGGCAATGTACCGTCAAATCTTGGGTGAGAACCTTCTTCCCTCAGCCAGGGCACTGAAAATGGGTCGTGGATGGGTGTTCCAGCATGACAATGACCCAAAACACACGGCCAAGGCAACAAAGGAGTGGCTCAAGAAGAAGCACATTAAGGTCCTGGAGTGGCCTAGCCAGTCTCCATACCTTATTCCAATTGAAAATCTGTGGAATGAGCTGAAAGCTTGAGTTGCCAAATGTCAGCCACCAAACCTTAATGACTTGGAGAGGATCTGCCAAGAGGAGTGGGCCAAAATCCCTCCTGAGATGTGTGCAAACCTGGTGCCAACTACAGGAAACGTCTGACCTCTGTGATTGCCAACAAGAGATTTGCCACCAACAGGGGCGGACTGATCATTTGGAAACTTGGGCACTGCCCGAGAGCCCGGGGTCAGTAGGGGGCCCCATGAGATGCCCCTGGTACCTTTTTCATAGGCTTTTTTGAGTTTTGGCAAGGACACAGGGGCCCCATGATCCCCTATTGCCCAGGGCCCCATGAGTTGTCAGTCCACCCCTGGCCACCAAGTACTAAGTAATGTTTTGTGAAGGGAATCAAATACTTATTTCCCTCATGAACATGCAAATCAGTGCATAATTTGTTAGACATACATTTCTTTTGAATTTGTTATTCTGTCTCTCAGTGTTACAATACACCTACCATTCGAATTTTAGACTGATCATTTCTTTGAGAGTGGGCAAACATTCAAAATCTGCAGGGGATCAAATACCTATTTCTTTTACTGTAGACTGCTATAAGGCTGCTGGGATTCAGCAGCACTGATACCCAAATAATTATAAAAAAGGTCAAAACAAGTATTTTATGAAAAAAGTAAACATACCTGGCAATAGTTTGGATCACACTGTGCTTTAGCAAGTCACATGCCATCCTTTTTGGTTTAGATCTACTTTAAAGTGATACTAAAGCTTTATTTTTTTAATAAAATAACAAACATGTTATACTTACCTGCTCTGTAGTGTAGTTTTCCACACAGCTGCTCCGATCCTCTACTTTTCAAGTCTCCTCTTCCGGTGCTGTGGCTCCTCCCCCTCAAGCAGATCCCCCAGAGAAAGCCTTGGGGCACTGCTACGTGCTCACTCCCAAGACGCCGCTCTATGCTCCCATAAGACACATAGAGTTGTGGCTTGTCTCCGCCCCCTGCTTTCTCCTCATTGGCTCACTGGCTGTGATTGACAGCAGTGGGAGCCAATGGGCTCCCATTGCTGTCTTGGTCAATGAGGAGGGAGAGTCCCCATACAGCCGAGACTAGTGTGAACACTGCTGGATTGGAGAGGGCTCAGGTAAGGATCGGGGGTTGGGGGGGTCGCTGCACACAGAATGTTTTTTATCTTCATGCATAGAAGGTAAAAAACCTTGAGCCTTTAGAATCACTTTAAAGTTTACACTGCTCTGTAACATCAATTTACCTAGAGCTGAATAAAAACTGAACTGGAACTCCTAATTTTGGTAAATGTAGCTATAATGTAGAGTATAATAATGGGAAACAACTTATTGTCTGAGAACTACCTATGTGCATATTCTAAAGCTGGCCATACCTGGATCGAAATTTGGCCAGTTCAGTAGCCAAATTTCAATCCATCTATGGCTGTTCCCATTCATTAGAAGTCAGTCTATCAATCACCTTCTCATGAATCAGCTTACAATACAATGAGATAGCAGGGAGGATTCCTGCATCTGCCTTGATGTGTTAAAGGGGGAATAGGTTCCGATTTTGGCCAAATGAAATAAACTAAACCATGCATGGCCAGCTTTAGTAAAGTATAACTTCACAGTTTGCTGGGAACTTCAAAACTTACATTTCAAAGTATGGTGCACAGGCACACCTTCTCTGCTTCCTACAATGCAGTGCTCAATACCTGAGTGACCAATCATCAGAACTAAACCCTACCATGCTAATGGTAAGAGAGGTGTGCCTAATCCTAGCTGTTTGCGTGCAGGTGAGATTGACACATGCATTCGTCTTTGTACACGAGCAGGGAGGGACGCATATCACTCAGGTCTCCCCTGAGATGAGAGAGCACGAGAGAACCGAGAAAGGCTAGTTAGCCACTCTGATTGCTTTTACAAGAGAGCCAACTGAATGCTCTAAAAACTGTACTGGGTATACCTGCTTTAAGTCCAGCAATGTACAGGTACGTTGCTGGTCCGCAAGTACACTATATTGTCAAAAGTATTGGGACACCCTTCCAAATCATTGGATTCAGGTATTGCAATCACCTCCATGACAACATGTATATAAATTTAAGTACCTAGGCATACAGACTGCTTCTACAAACATTTGTGAAAGAATGGGTCGCTCTCAGGAGCTCAGTGAATTCAAGCATTGTACCGTGATAGGTTACCACCTGTGCAATAAGTCCATCCATGAAATTTCCTTGCTACTAAATATTCCACAGTCAACTGTTAGTGGTATTATAACAAAGTGAAAGCAACTGGGAACAACAGAAACTCAACCATGAAGTTGTAGGCAATGTAAAATGACAGAGTGGGGTTAGCGCATGCTGAAGCGCACAGTGCGCAGAAGTCTCCAACTTTCTGTACAGTCAATAGCTAAAGACCTCCAAATTTCATGTGGCCTTCAGACTAGCACAACAACAGTGTGTAGAGAGCTTCTTGGAATGGGTTTCCATGGTCGCTCAGCTGCATCCATGCCTTACATCACCAAGTGCTATGCAAAGCGTTGGATGCAGTGGTGTAAAGCACACCACAACTGGACTCTAGAGCAGTGGAGACGTGTTTTCTTGAGTTACAAATCATGCTTGTATTTCTGGTGAGTTGATGGACGTATCTGGCTTTGGCGATTGCCAGGAGAATGGTACTTGCTTGACTGCATTGTGCCAAGTGTAGAGTTTGGTGGAGGTGGGATTATGGTGTGGGGTTGTCTTTCAGGTGTTGGGCTTGGCCCCTTAGTTTCAGTGAAGGGAATTCTTAAGGCATCAGCACACCAAGACATTTTGGACAATTTCATGCTCCCGACTTTGTGGGAACAGTTTGGGGATGGCCCCTTCCTGTTCCAACATGACTGCACACCACTGCACAAAGCAAGGTCCATGAGGAAATGGGAGAGTGAGTTTGGGGTTGAAGAATTTGACTGGCCTGCAGAGAGTCCTGACCTCAACCCGATAGAACACCTTTGGGATGAATTAGAGCGGAGGCCTTCTCGTCTGACATTAGTGCCTGACCTCACAAATGTGCTTCTGGAAAACTGGTCAAACCTTCCCATAGACACACTCCCAGACCTTGTGGACAACCTTCCCAGAAGAGCTGAAGCTGTTATAGCTGCAAAGGATGGGCCAATTCAATATTGAACCCTACTGACTAAGACTGGGATGCCATTAAAGTTCTTGTGCATTTAAAGGAAGGCATCCCAATGACTTTGGCAATATAGTGTAGTTAAAGAAGGGGTGAGCGAGAGGAGCAGAGTGAGCAGATGGATGATCTTATCAGTCCCTGCTGCTCCTCCATTGTCCAATCACAGGTGGGGGCCAGGTGAGAGGTGAGGTGACCTTGTCCTACTGCTTAATTGCAGTAGAGAAATGTCAACATTGACTTAACTAATCAACCAACCTTGCCTTTCTAACTTTGTATGTATCTGTTTAACTGGAGTCTAGCCTTAAAATAAACCTGTCTCATGAGAAATATGGATATGCAATTGCTGATTTCCTTCTAAAAATGTTAATTACTTCACCGAACTGGAAAATTATGCAGGCCATGAAAGTCAGAGAAAAGTCAAAAGCCCTTTTTCTGCAATTTTGTTCTCCCAGTACTATAGCAAGAGGATCAGCATGACAGTCAAGCAGCTAGTTTTCCGAAACATAAGTCAGCAACGGCATGTTCTCTCCTGACCAGCTTCTTATTGCATAATACAAACAGGTGTGTGAATACCTGTATATGGAAGAAATTTAATCACATCAAATCAGCTCTGTAAACTGGGATGTCATTCCAATGGGTTGGATATCAATACATACATTATTTTAAACTCTGCTGAGTATACAGCATATTCAAACAGATATTTCAGTTTTTGTAGTGGTCTGGACACCTGAACTAACCAATGGCTTCTTAAGTGTTTGGGAATTCTAGCAGCAAGATCTCTTTGTGTTTTATGACCTCCCATCTGCCATCTACCGCAAAGGAAAAAAAATGAAATATTAGTTTCAGGTGGACTGGTTATTAAAGCACTCACTGCAGTTAATCGCTGTGCATAATGCCTTACTTGCTCATTGAGTTTATTGTTATAATTTGTTCATGCAGTTCTGTGATCTAATTACTAGATGAAATTAACCTAGCATGAAAGAAGGGCTCAGATTATATACAGATGGGGTTTTAGATAACCTTCAACAATTAAAGGGTTAATGAAATGTAGTCTTGAAGCAGCCTTTCATAATAATAAATCAATATAAGTCACAGAGCAGAGAATGGGATTATATAATTTTATTGAGTTGGCTCAAAATAACCTTAAGACTTTTCAAACTAGGTGACCACAAGATAAAGATTTTGCTCAGGAAACTCATTACATTGTAGCTACTGAATTGTTATAATGATCAGTCCCCAGTGCCCAAATCAATATAGCAGTACTTCATCGGGAAGTGTTCTGAACAAAATGCACGGGATCCATTTTCATAATGGAGGCACTTGGTCATTCTATGGAAATCAGCCAGGCAAGTGGAATACATTTTACATTTCATATTTATTTTAGTTGCCTAAGTAACAGCCATACAATGCTTAAGAACACCCAAAAATTATGGTTATAGCAATGTATGCATGGTTGAGTATACATTGCTATTTATATGCATTGGAATGAATGTACACTGAAATGTTAAGTTTAAGCTTACCTCTAAACATAAAATAAAAAAACACAAATTATTACAGTTCTGTAATCATAAATATACTAAATAAATAGAAGCAGAATGGTGTGTCGTGTCAGACAAAATCTGTAAATCACTGCCTACTACAGCAGGCTGCTGTCATAGAGAGGAGTCCATATCCACTAGTAATAGGCTGGTCAGGGTTTGGAAGTAGCAGCAGCTCAGTGTTGTGGTGTTGTGGTGAAGATCACAGAGATAACACTTGAAAGATCTGTTTCCCAAGGGTCACGCTATGGCAGAAGAAGTAGAAAACACTGGGTGACACTAGAGACAGGATACTCCACAATACAAAGAAACTGGACTCAAGGTGCCTGAATGTTCAGTGAAAATAAGAGCCCCTTGAACACCAGAAGTGCAGGGTCTAAAGATCTGGCATTTACCAGAACATCCAGCAAGGAGTGGTGGGGCATTTCTGTTGAAAGGTCCAAGGTTGCGACCTTCTGACTCACCTGAACAGGTACCTACTGAGCAGGATGTATGAGAACACAGGAGTGAGAGAATCTGGGAGCATTGGGGTGCTGGAATTACAGTGACACTGGAGTGAGAACACAGAACACACACTTGCAACACTGGGTTGCTGAGAACACAAGCACAGAGTGAGAGTCTTTTGCATCACTGGCATGCTGAGAATACAGGGATAAGAGCCCCTTGCAGAACTGGGGAGGGCACTGAATGCAGAAAGGCTGCCAGATCACACAAGTGCCTGAATTCTGGAGTCTCTCTTGGAATACACAGGGCTCAGAGGTGCTGGAATACTGGAAGCTTTCTTGGAGTACACAAGGCACATGGGTACTAGAATTCTGATAGCTTTTTTACAGTACACAGGCACAGGGATGCTGAAAGCTTCCGTCAGAATATGAGGATTCACAGGACAAGTAAAAACCTGGGGACACAGGAGGCTTGGCAGGTAGCATACAAATACATTGCTCAAAAACTTAGCAATATGTTCACAGACCCTTTAAGACAGCACCTGGCAACAAATTGGCTGCGTTGCTAGTGGCCACTGAATAGCTGCACCCTGGACAAAAGGATAGAACTGGCACAAAGCAGGGGTGAGTGTGACATTACCCCCACTTTTACGAGGTCTACCCACTCACAGAGGTCCAGTTTTCAACAGGAAATTAAAATATAATCACCTTACCATGAAAAGAGTTGAGATATCTGAAGTTGGAACCCAGGAATAAAGCCCTTTCAATCAATCAGTTACTGGAGTTAGGAAGTTTTAGATGCGGAGGCAAATGGTGTCTCTAGCAAACCAGGTTGATTCTTGTAGAGGTGACATAAGGCCCAATGTATCAAACTTCAAAGAAGGGACCTTGAGAAAGATATTCCTCATAGCTTGCCAATTCTTGTCTTCAGTTTGAAGAGGTGGTTCCTTTTGCCAGTGCTAGTTAGCACATTTTGTTTGTGGATAGTGCCTGATAGCTAAAACTGTTTCTGGGCTTGTGACCAGCTTTGGTTTGTGTTTTTCTGCAAAGTATCCTGACAAGAATATCAGGAGTAGATGACATGGGTGTTTGTCATTAATAATGTAAAATAGAGATTCTAGGGCACTGGCAATTATTTTTATGGGCTGTCTCTGCCCAAGGCAGAGGGGCAACCCATTTGTACTGGTGGGCAGATATGGAGGCTCAAAGGAATTTACCAGGCGACTAGTTAGTTCTTTTAATTTGCTATTGGATTGCTGATGGTAGGCCAAACTGTAGAGTTACATCCAAGGATTTACAAAGACCTCTCCAGAAATGCGATGTAAACTGGAGCCTGTGATTAGACACTATACTAGCTGGCATACCATAGAGTCAGAAGATCTCTTGAATGAAGGTGGGACTCCAAGGCTACTGCCAAAGGCAGTTACAAGAATGGTATGACATGTGCCAATTTAGAAAATCTATTATCCTGACTACAGTACAGCATTTGAATGGATGGAGGTCCAAGATAAAATCAATGGCCTAATGGCACTAGAGTTCCTGGGAATAGGCAATAGGTGGAGAGAACAAACTGGTGCTTGGATAGGGAACCTAGTTTGGGCACACACTGGACAGGCCTTTACATAATCGTCTACATCTTTGCAAAGTCTTGACCACCAGTATAGGTAAGAAAGAAACATGTTTCTGTGGATGCCAGGATGTCTGCTTGGAATCATGGGCCCATCAAAGTAGCTAGGTTCTTAACTCCTCAGGTACAAAGGTTTTGCCCAGAATCATGGCAGAGGCCTTACTGGAGGTCAGATCCAGGACTAGAATAGGAAGAATAATAAATTCTAGCTCAGAAGGATCTTCAGGATCTGTGAATCAAATGATGGAGAGAGATCATATGCTCTGGGATTGTCTGGCTAGGTTTGAAGCTGATAACAAAATCAAATTGGGAAATGAACAAAGAATATCAAGCTTGTTTGTGAATAAAACAATGGACAGTGTAGAGATGCTGCAGATTCTTATGATTAGTGAAGATTTTAATCCAGTGAAGCAACCCTTCCAAAGGCTATTGCCATTTTTCTAGGGCTAGTTTAACAGCAAGAAGCTCCTGATCTCGAATGGAGAAAAACTTCTTAGAGAAGAAGATGAAGGGACACCTAGCCTCACTGGGAGAATGAAAAAGAAGATCCCCACCTTTCATGTAAAAGTCTGCAACTTCAATGGAAAAGCACTGGTGAGTGTGGATTGTACTGATTGTTTAAGGAACACA